CGGCGCGCGAGGGGCCAGTCCCCAGCGGAGACCGGGTACGGGGTGAGGAGAGGCCAAGACAGTGTGGGCTTTGCGAGGAAGGGCCACGAGGTGCAAGAAGAGGAATTCTGGAAGTTGACTGTGAACCCCTTCTCTCTACCACCTCCCATACTCACAGGTACACACCTCTGCAACAACCTACAGTATTTACACACAGGCACGCTGTCCCCAGAACAACCCAGAGACGCCCCCACGCAATACCCCAGAGATCCAAAGATGGGCACACACCCCCATGACAATCAAGAGACTAACTCGCAGGGATGACAGCCCCACAGCAGCTCAGAGATGCCCACAGCTTGCATTCCCCCACCAAGCTAGAGGCACACCAAGCCTATACACACCCAACCCCATTCCCACTGGGCAGTGCAAACCCAGCAGGAAGCCGATCCAACCCACAAGGCTCAAGGTTCACAAGCTGGCCAGACGTAGGCAAAATCTCCACCCTCGTCTCACTCGTACCTGGGAGCTTGAACTGGGACTCCCTCCAGCCCCACACTCTGGCCCTTGTCCACCAGCACCCCTTCTCAGCATGCACACACGTGCGTGTACACACACACAAACATGCACGCATACACGCACACCTCCTATGGACTAGACTAGGCTCTCAAGAGCATCTGGCCCAGGGCTCTGGGCTCTCTTACCTCCCCAGGCAGAGTTGGCCAGAGCTCCATAGCTACCTGCACCAGGGCTCCTGCCATCCCTTCCAGCCCGGGAGGCTCCCCCCAGCCCCCTGGGTCCTAGTGCCAGCTCTTCCTCCATCTGCTCTCTGTGAACTGAGTCCAGTAGCTCAACTTCTCTGAGGCCAGGCCAGGGTGAGTGTGGCAGCCTGTCCCAGCGACTGTGGTGAGCTCCTCTGGATGAGCAACTAACAGGGCCCAACAAGAACCTGCCACAGTCATCCTGACCAGCATGCAGATGTCAGCCTCCTCCCACCTCCGTTCCTGTCTGTGCCCCGCTGCCTCCTCCTCTCTGGCCCTTAGTTTTCCATTTACAGAAAAAGGGAATCAGAATGGATAACCCTAAGGTGCCTCCTAGCCTCACCAGCCTAGAGCTCTAGGATGGAACAGCTTTTCTTAAATGTGCTAAGAAAAAAAAAGAGGAGTCGAGGATTTGTCACGGTGCTGCACAAATAGAGGTGTTTCTTCCTGAAGTGCTTAAAGCGCCGAGATGTTTGTAAATTAGGCCACATTTTAAAAATGAGTGGGGGTGAGTGGGGAGCTATGATGGCAAGTGACCCCAAAGGGCTTCCTGCAAAGTGAATCCTGGACAATGTGCTGCAGGTCCTCATGAGGCCTGTGTGAATGACCTTAGATCTCCAGGCCTCCCATCTGCAGTGTGGGAGGCACAGTCAGATAATCACCCATCCCTTCTAAACCACACTCCTGAAAAGTGTCTGGGAATGAGTGGGTGGCAGGGGGCTGGCTCTGGGCTCAGGATGCCCAGGCTCTGACTCTCTGCTATCTACCTCCTCTGCCTCTAACTCTAGGCAGGTCACTGCCCCTCCCCAGGCCTCAGCAGTTTTACCTGAGTGTCCCACCCAGGCAGTGTGGGTCTCAGATAAAACCCAAAGGGGACCCCAGTAGAGCCAAAGCCAGCTTTGCTTTGTGAACTGTATCCTCTTGGATGTGCCATGAGGAAAAGAGGTGGCAGCACAGGCCTGGTGGCTCCTGCCTTTTTAGGGCCCCAATAAAACACACCTCAGCAGATAGCAGGCACCAGGGCAGCAAACCTCTCACACCCACCAGGTGTGTGTGGTCCAGGGCAAAAAAGACAAGGCCAGGTGACAGGAGGTAGCAGTGAGGGCAGACTGATAGAAGGACTTCCCCACCCTAGAGAGCTGCCAGAGAGAGAAAAACTCAGGGAGGTGCAGATGGCAAGAACTAAACCATCGCCGGGCATAGTGGCTCACGCTTACAATCCCAGCACTTTGGGAGGTCGAGGCAGGTGGATCACCTGAGGTTGGGAGTTCAAGACCAGCCTGACCAACATGGAGAAACCCCGTCTCTACTAAAAATACAAAATTAGCCGGGGTGGTGGCACATGCCTGTAATCCCAGCTACTCGGGAGGCTGAGGCAGGAGAATCGCTTGAACCGGGGAGGCGGAGGTTGCGGTGAGCCGAGATCGCGCCATTGCACTCCAGCCTGGGCAAAAAGAGCGAAACTCTGTCTCAAAAAAGAAAAAAAAAAAAAAAAAAAGAACCAAACCATCACTCAGATCAAAACACAGAAGAACCAAGAATCTTTTGGACCTTGGGTCGGTAAAGGTGGGTGACGTGGCACCTGAGGGCTCAGGCAGCCAGGCCCTGGGCTCATCCCTGGGTCCTAGGTTTAGGCTAGGCTACCTCGCCAGCAGGTGGGTAGAAGGGTATCATCTCATTCTACTCATCGTTAATTTGCCCTTGCAAATGATACCCCTCCCAGGAACTTCAGTATCTCTGGATCTGGGTCTCATGAAAACCTCTCAAACATGACAAAGCCGATTCATATCCTTCTCAGAACACCTCTAAGCAGCCAAGAAGGACCCCATCTGCTCCAGAGCAGAAGAATGAGCCCAGGAGGGCTGGAGGGGCTCGGGGACCTAGCAGCACAAAGGGCCTGTGGAGCTGAGTTCAAATCCTGGACCTCTGATTTCCTAGCTGTGTCACCAGAAGCCAGTGACAGGCCTTCTCTGAGCCCCAGTTTCCTCATCTGGAATAATAATACCTATCCTCTGAGAATTGTGGCAGGGAAAAGAGTTGTATATGTGCCAGTTTCACCCCCAGATAAATAACTAAAAATAAAACTGGTGGGGGTGAGTGGGGCAGGGAGGAATACACTGTCCAAAAATGCACGGTTCCAACCATCTTGACATGATGGTTTGGCAAGTTTTGAGTCTCATGGAAGATCAAACAATGGAAACAGTTTTGGCAAAGCATGCCGCTGCTCTGCCCACTGCAGTCCCCTGCCCCAGATCTGGTCCCCTGCCCAGGAAGTGAATTGAGGTGCCTCTCTGAGCCCCCAGGCTAGAGTCCAGGTCTGGCTGCTCTCTGGGTCCCAGTTCCAGAATGGGGCATCACGGAGCAGGAGCCAGAGTGGGTATAGAAGGTGAGACTGTGTACGAGAAGGCGCTTGACAAACTGAGAAACAGCGTGGGAATGTGAGGCATCATTACACAGGGCACTGGGCAGGCCTGGATCTCATAAGTGCCCCTCGCAGACGGAGTAGCTGAGGTTGTGGGGAGCATGGGGTGCCCCTGCATCACACAGCAAGTCAGAAGCCCTAAGGGGACTCCAGTAACTCAGGACTGACCTAGACTCCTGGAACTGAGGAAGGGGACACTTGGAAAGAGTCACACCAGACTTTTTGCTCACTACCCCCTGATGGCTGTTGAAGGAGGGGTCAGGGCACCTGCCTGTAGCCAGCCACCCCATGACCTGGTCCCTAACACTCTCCTGAACTCCGCACAGCAGAACTAAAGACCCCTCAGACTAAGGGCATCTGGCCCCACTCCCTCCCTGTACAGATAGAGAAACAAAGATCCTACTAGCAGGGACGAAGTAGAAATAAGAACCTAGGGGCCAGGTGCGGTGGCTCACGCCTGTGATCCCAGCACTTTGGGAGGCCGACATGGGCAGATCACCTGAGGTCAGGAGTTCAAGACCAGCCTGGCCAACATGGTGAAACCTCGTCTCTACTAAAAATACAAAAATTAGCCAGGTGTGGTGGCATGCGCCTGGGAGGCTACTCAGGAGACTGAGGCAGGAGAATAGCTTGAACCTGGGAGGCGGAGGTTGCAGTGAGCAGAGATTGGGCCACTGCACTCCAGCCTGGGTGACAGAGCGATGCTCTGTCTCAAAAAAAACACGAATGAAAACCTAGGTCTCTCAGCTCCTAACCTGAGGCTCCTGCTCCTCCCACCCCCTATTACATACCACACCTTCCACTTGCCTGCCAGTGACCCTGACACAGTCACTGCCCTCTCTCAGCCTCAAGAGTCAGCCTCCCTTGGTGCCCCGCAACCTGCCCAGTGTCCTGGACAATGAGGGGCCTGAAAGTCTAGCCTTGCTCCAGGATGCCCACCCCTACTCACCATCTAGTTAGACAGGTGATGGCTGCCTTGATCTCCCCTCTGGGAGATGATAGGGCCCCACCCCTACCTCTTCTCCCCCACCCCCTCCTCGGGGTAACCCTGCCTGCCAGTTTTGGTGGAGCAAATTCCCAGGTTGTCCAGGGCAACAAGGCAGTGTCCTGGCACTGTTCTAGAAGATTGGGCAGTGACCTGTGTGATGTCACCAGGAAGCAGTGGCATGGAGGAGGGGTTCCAGAGACCCTCAGAAGGGTGCAGCAGGCTGGACGCGGTGGCTCACACCTGTAATCCCAGCACTTAGGGAGGCCAAAGCAGGCAGACTGCACAAGTCCAAGAGCTCAGGACCTGACTGGGCAACATGGTGAAACCCCATCTCTACTAAAAATTAAAAAATTAGCTGGGCGTGGTGGTGCACACCTGAGGTCCCAGCTACTCAGAAGGCTAAGGCAAGAGGATGGCTTGAGCCTGGAAGGTCAAGGCTGCAGTGAGCTGAGATGGTGCCACAGCATCATCTCCAGTTAAAAAAAAAAAGGTTCAGCACCAAGAACTCTGAGGCCCCTAGGGCTGGGTTAGCCTTGAGAGGGACGTGTCCTTCACAGTGGCAATAGGTGTTCCATCCCAGTCCCACCTGGAGCCGGATCTAAGTGTTTGCCCAGGGTGGGTCTCACACCTTGCTGGGCCTCACTGAGCAAACAGCTCACACCTGCCCTTAGGGAGCTGCTGGAGCCTCACTGTAGTGCGCAGCCTCAAAGTCAGTGCAGGTTAGGGTCACCCCCACCTGCAGTTCTCCTGATGTCCTGTCACAGTCCCACACAGAAACACTTCACCTTGCTATTACACAGGGCCAGACCTGCACAGCTACACACACTTTGTTATGCCAGGCCACACACAGCACCAAAGTGGGGTTGCCAAATAAAATACAGGACAACAGCTGAGCGCAGTGGCTCACACCTGTAATCACACCTATAATTCCAGTGCTTTGAGATGCTAAGGTGGGAAGACTGCTTGAGGTCAGTAGTTCGAGACCAGCCTGGGGAACATAGTGAGATGCTGTCTCTACAAAAAATGTAAAACTTAGCTGGGCATGGTGGCACACGCTGGTAGTCCCAGCTACTAAGTAGGAGCCTGAGGTGGGAGGATCACTTGAGCCCAGGAGTTCCAGGCTGTAGCGAGCTATGATCGTACTACTGCACTCTAGCCTGGGTGACAGAGTGAGACCCTGTGTCAAAAAAAAAAAAAAAGGAAATGGGACAGCTGAGACACAGAGAGGCTAAGTAACTTGTTCTAGACCACACACCACTAAGTAAGCAGTTTCAACCCAGATGGCCTGGCTGCCTAGCCCAAGCCATTATACAAGACCACCGAGCAGGGAACTTTGTGGCATCTGTCCTGCTTCCTCTTCCATCCTTCTCCCCACCCCATCCTCTGATCCCTGCACCTC